TGCCCTGGTTCCTCACTTTCAGGATGTTCCCGTCACCCATGTCCCCTCCTGGAGGCAGTGGCCCGGTCCTGTGTATGCGGTGGCCCCCTGGGATGGGAGGACCCACCTGGCTGTGTTTCCCCCAGGTGCCCGCTGGTCACTTGGTGTCTGGTATTCCCTGACCCTGAGCTTTGGGCACTCTCAGGATCCACCTTCATGCACTCCATCCTCGATCATTCCCCTGTCTGCTGCAGTCCATCCTTCAGCAGTTTCTCGTATTTCTTATAATTTCCATTATAACAGCATGGTTCCTTTGTGTTTTCTGATACGGTTTGGAACTTTTAAAAATTTCTATTTTGAAGCTGACAGGGATTTGATATGTGGAAGGAAGACCCCAGTCTGGTTCTCAATCTTCCCTCCTAGCACATGTTCCCTTTAATTTATTCAGTGTCCTGGTCACACTGGGTGCATCTCTCCACCATCACCCAGGGTGGCTTTAGGGGCTAAGTGGATATAGATGCAGATAACCTTGAACCACATCATGCAAAAATATTCTTTTTCAGCTTCATTGGCCATATTGATAAAGCCACAGTTTTATGCTGGGATATTTTTAATGTTGCATTTTAACAGAGAGTATAGGGCTCAGGTTAAAGTAGACAAAAGTACCTAGCTTGAATTTAACCAAATTGTCTATAATTATCTTCATAATTATTTTCACGATTACAGACTTGTATGGCAGGTGTTGCTAGTTTCCAATTTGCATTTTTGATATAATGTTTCATTTAAAATTATTTGAATAAAATTGGTTTCATTGAATATTATCAAGAGGATACTCAGGTATAATTCTCTGAAGACTTCTTTTATATTGTATTAGAGTAACAACAATTTGTCTAAAATTTAAAAATACAAATTCAGCATGCAACAACATAAGCTTCTCTCACTCATGAGGCAATCCAGAGATAGTGTTGGGGAGGACAGGAAGTCTTCATGCACTGACATGCTGGGGCCTGGGAGATGGAAGTGCCATTGTTCCTACCACATGGCCTCCAAGTTGTTGCCTCTTAGCCTCCAGAATGGGAGAAAGAACAGGAATTTCTGGGCCAGACATTTCCTCTTAAGCCAGCAAGCCAGAAACCCCTAAGTCCTGTTCCAAGGACAAGATCTTAATCAGCCACATACAGTGACAGAGCAGCTTGGGAAAAGCAGTCTCTAGCCAGGTGGCCCCTGCCCAGTTACCATGGTGTCTTAGTCTATTCCTGCCACTGAAACAGATACCCCGGGCTGGGAAACCTGTAAGTAATGGAAGTTACTGCTCACGGTTCAGAGGCTGGTGAGTTCCAGATCAGAGTACTGCAGAGTGTGTCTGCTGAGAGCCTCTTCCTCATACATGGCACCTTCTAGCTCTGTGCTCACATGGGGAAAGAGGCCAACAAGCTCCCTTGGGCCTCTGACAATGGCACTGATCCTTTTCTTGCAGGCTCTGCCCTCAAGACCCCATCACCTCCTAAGGGCCCAAGTCTGAGTGCCTTCTCCCAGGGATTAGGTTTTAACATGGATTTTTGGCAGGTGCAAGCATGTAGACCACAGCGAATGGAAATACTCAGCAGCACAGATCCACACTGATGGAATCCTGCTGCATGGAAATTGCAAGGGTGTCCTCCTTGGTGGTGAAGCAAGTGTCTTGCTCTGCTGTCTGGCAGCTGCGGGTGGGGGTGCGTCCTTGTCCTCATCTTGTGAGCCTCTAGATTGGCTTTCTCAGAAATTGCTCATGTCTTCCCAGTGCACACCAGAAGCAGGCTTTCGATGGTCGGTTGCCTTCTTTGGGATTTGTATGTGTGGGCTCTATAAGGTTCAGTAGAATCAGATGTTTTCAGCTTTGGCTGTTGCTTTTTCTCACCATGGATTCCTTCAGAACCACGGTGAAGGTTTAATCTATGTGCTCTCAGGCAGTTCCACGTGCGCATATTATTCATACCCTGGTTCTTTCCTGGGTATTGCTTTGATGACTGCTTCCTTTGCTTTCTTTCTTTCCTTCCTTCAAGCTGGTGGCTCCCCTTCAGATTATGGAGCTACTTTGGGGCCATCTGAAACCAGATTTGGGTGGGGAGGCAATGACTTGAACTTAATCCCTAACACAACTGGGTGTCTTTGGCTTTGGGGTGTGGGTCTGTGAGAATTATTTGGAACAGCAACCTGCCTGTCTCCTGTTAGCTTCTCTAACTAGCTCACTCCTGACCTCAGATCTTTCTCTTTATCTGTATAGTGGGCTTTTTCTAGCAACTTCGTAAGCACATCAAGGAATAAGTGAAATACACCAATATTCTGGGTTTATCAGGTTTCTTTCTTTAGAGGTACAGGTACTTGGTCTTCTTTCAAGCCCAGCAGAAGCAAAAGTTTTACCCAATATTTTGCCGTGACCTAATGAGGCTGTCGACTTTCATGCCTGTTATATCTTTCTTCTTTATCACTGCCAGCTTGCTGAGTCACTACCATTAGCTGTAGGTTTTATTACAGTAGCACACCACTTCTGGAATCAGTTTCTGTATTAATTGGGGCAGTAGTAACTACTGTTCCAGAAAGACTCAAGAAAGCAGTGGTTCAAATAAGATAGAAACTCAGAAAGGAAGTCCTGGGCTACAGAATTCTCTTAAGGAAATGAGCAGCCAGGCATGGTGGTGCATAACTGTTATCCTAACACTCTGAGAGACTGAGGCAGGAGTATCTCAAGCTTGAGCCCAGCCTGGGGAACTTAGTGAGTGCCTATGTCAGGAGTGGCTCTCACATCACATCTGTTGCCACTCCTCTGGGCAAGGGTGCAGTCTCATGACCCATCCGCTAAGGCCAGGAGAGATTAGCTGGAGATCCCCATCAACCTCTAAGGACGTTACTATGGAGGAAAGATGGGCGGGGCTTGGTGGCCAGCTTGCAGACTGTACCACATCCATGTACTACAGACTTGCTGCGCGTGAAAATGTCTGTCCTGTCACTCACTGTCCTTTTTAGAGCCCCATGTAATTCATTTCTGTTAGAAGGAGGTGCTGCCACAGCTCACAGGCAATGCAGGATGTACATTAGGATAACCCGAAGTCAGGTAAACTGGGTAGCAGGCCAGACAGTAAATGTTTTAGTCTTTGTGGGCACTGTTGTAACTGCTGGACTCTCTACAGCTCACATGGCAATATGTATGTGAGAATGGCATAGTTATTCTGCCAACCCCAAGCTGGGAAGCCAGCTAAGCAATATCTCGGTCAAATGTTTATACCCTTTCTGTGGCTTCATTGCTGGAAGCATATCCTAGAAATAATTTAACCTCAGCACTTTCAGAGACTGAGACAGGAAGATTGCAAGCTTGAGAACAGCTTGGGCAACTTAGCGATTTGGTGAAACCCTGTCTCAAAATAAAAAATAAAAAGGGCTGGGAAGTAGCTCAGTGTGAAGTCCCTGGATTCAATCCCCAGTATCAAGGGGAAAAAAAAAGAAAATAATTTAAACAAAGCATATTCCTTTGTATCTCTTACAGCATTATCTAATGAAACAAAAAGTTACAATAATGGCTAAGTAGACTTTGGTATATCAAGTGGGACATTATCAGCTATTTGAATGTATTAATATGTAGATTTTGTAAAAATGTTGATGGTGTGACATTAAGTGGGAAGACATGAAGATATAAATATAGTATGATTGCAACTTCTACCATTTAGAATTATAGGTGATATTCATTTTCAAGATAATCTTCAAGTGGTATTTCAATAAGAATACTTGAATAAATAAAAGTGTATTTAATAGTAGGAAAAGTTGATGGCTTTGAGGGATAGGTCCTCTTCCTTCTCAGGAATTATGTATTGAGTTGTATTTTCATTTCCTTTGGGCACCAGGAAGCTCAGCATCCAATGAAAGGTTCGTGCCCAGCTCCTGAACTGACTGCAATTCCCGCCTCCCCTGCCCTTTCACGGAGTGACTGTGTGCTGCATCCCTTGGGACAGCCCCATTGGATGTCTGTTGCTCCAGCATCATTTTTGACAGCGCCCCCCCCCATTTTCAAACATTCTGTAGTTTGGATGAAAACTGTATTGTTTACCTACTTTTGATGACTATCCTTTTTAATTCTGATCTGAAAAAACTTTGTTCTGAATGCAGATATAACTATAAGACAATTCAAGATTTCTGTTTAGCAAGAAGTTGGATATAAACAAACAAAATCTTTGAAAACAAATTCAATTCTGGCCCCATCCCAGCCACCCCAGTACACACACACACGCACACACACACAAATTACATGCATATCATATGTTTATATATATATTAATTACATACATATACATTTATATAATGTACACATATATATGATACACACATTAATGTTTATATATAACCATACATATACTCATATTTTATATTTTTTTGAGTAAAGCAGAACCTGAGACACCAGGGCTTAGTCCTTGCCCCCTACTTCCAGCATGTACCGAAACAAGGGGACCCTTGGAGTCAGGACCCCAGGGCCTGGGTCAAGGTCTCCAGTACTGTGCTCCTACTCGCCACAGAGAGAGCTCAGCTTTCTTTCTTCTGGCCTCTCTGACTGGCAGTGTGTTGAGTGCTAAGCTGTATACAAAGAAAAAGGCATCTATCTGAACTGCAGCATCACTGAAGGGCAGAAGGCGCTAGCATTTGAGCACCTACAACATGCCAAGTGTTGCTGTTTGATGCTTTATATACAAACTCATCTCATCCTTATAAAAATACTGTAAAAAGTGATGATAAAAAGAAAACCATGATCAGTAATAACACTATCCTAGCAACTGCGCTGGGGATTTAGCTCAGGGTTCCGCCGCCTGTCTCACTATACTAGCAACTGCACTTGAGAACTCCCTGTGGGTCAGTTACTGCACTAAATACTTGCCATACATTTCCAGCACAGTTTACATTCCCATTCTACAGATGAGTAAGTGGGTATCCAGGAAGGTTAATGAGATTTTCCCAAGGTCATAGGGCCAGTAAGTAGAAATGGGTGCTTTTTCTTATAGATATTTCGTTGTGTTAATGAGGAATACTGGAGAATGGTACAAAATGTTCCAGAGCACTGGGAATGATTTATTTGCAAGACTCGGGATCACAAGGAATGAATACTCAGCACGTACTGCATAGGGATCTGCTGTATGCATCTGCTCAGGAGGACAAAAGCACTGAGACACAGTGAGTTCCTTGGCGTACTCACTGAGCTGCACATGTCCTAGCAGGTCCCTTCCTTCTTAGCCAGTAGCTCAGCCCCAGGGAGGTTAAGTTGTTAGACCAGTGATGTTCAGCCAGATGTGCAGGAGGCACTGTTGAGAAGTCTCTGTGTCCATCACTTGCCTCCTTGACTGCTCCAAACTCTCCTATGTGCCACTGCTTGCCGGGTGCCTTTCCTGGAAGTTTCTCTTGGCGGCAGATCCGAGTCCCTGTGTCATACATCCAGCTTTGAGCTTCATAGATTTGTGGGTGGAATTTTCAAGTGTAAAGGGGACCTGTGCTGCTTGTTTCTCAGGCATAGTTTCAAAAGAAAATAGCATTTTATATCCTGCATTAATGGGAAATTACTTTCCATTAGGATTCGGAATGATTTGCACATAATGTTTATAAAGTAAAGGAAAAATGTCAAGCATTTCACTAACAATTTAAAGCAAAGCTCACAAGACTCTGCCAGAAATGAATTCCAAGAACATTTTCTTCACCATTTCTTCTTTCTAGAGAAAAAAATATTAAGAGAAAGATGAAAGGACAGGGGTCAATTAGGCAGAGTGCATCATGGGCCTGAGATGGAACCTCTGATACCATCATGGCTGGGGAGTGAAGAGAATAAATAAAGTGAGCCAGAAACAGAGGAGGCAGGGTGGGGGGATCACAACTTGAAATGATGGATTGTAGACAAAGTCCAAGTTCAGGCCCTGGCCAGGAGAGAGGAGCCCTGTCCAAGCTCTCGGTATGGACGAGGTCATGTTGCTTTAGCAGCACACGCTGCCCCTCTGTCCCCGCAGAGAAAAGGAGGCCAAGGAAAGTCCTTGAGCTGAACTGTGCGCCTAGAGGCAGTTCTCAGAAAACCAATTTTGAAGAAAATCATACAGACACTGTGACCTTTGCTCAAGTATTTTTCCCATTACCAAAAGACAGAGGACAAGATGTATTTCACGTTTTTATCAATTCATTTATTTTTGCTGATTTTTATTCCCGTGAAATTCTCAAAGAACGTACCACTTTATGTAATGACAGTGAGGGGTTAAAGGCTCCAAATTGAGTTCTACTTTAAAAATGTAGAAAAGGCTGAGACTTGTTAATAAATGGCATTCAGTTCCAACTGTGTGCTGCAGGCCTGTCAGAGTGAAGCAAAATAAATCTCTCAAATGACTTATATTAAGACATTCTAACTCTCTTTAGGTATAAAAGAGACTTTTATAAATTTCTTGACACTTGTAAGGCTGCTCAGAAATAACTTCTACAGTGTAAGTCATTCCTTTCATTGGCAAAAAAAAAATCTCTAGGATTACATTAGAAAATAAACATTTATTCAAAAGTGAAATGTGCAGTTTAAAAACTAAAGAAGACGAGCACTTTGCAAATAGAAACATATGAATTTTTACCTACATTTCCAAGGAGGATAGAGTTTGCTCAGTCAGCAAGTTCTTCCTTTTCTTTCCTTCTCTTTTTCCTTCCTTTTTTCCTTTCTTCTCTTTTTTCCTTCCTTTTCTTTCCTCGGCCACCCCGCCCCAACCTCCCCCATGATGTCGGTTATTGTTCAGAGTTTAGAGCCAAGGGTTCCAGGTAAGAGAGAAACAGGAAGGGAGACAGAAGTGTCCCACATTGGAATTCAAATTCTGGCACATATTAGCTGTGTGACATTGGATCAGTTTCTTAGTATCCCTGGACTCATTTGAACTTGCCCCTAAATGAAGAGATTGGGCTTCAGATATTCTAAGGTACTTTCTAGCTCTAAATGTTGTGGTCACAGTGTTTATCTTTTGTGAGTACTTGGCATTCTTAAAAATTTCAAAGTGGAGAGGCTGAATATTTAATATTTTCTGAATTTAAAAAATAAAGTATGAACTATGATTATGATTATTGATCTGGAGTCATGGATGAGGGAAAGAGGAAGAGTCTTTTTCTTTTCCAAGCTGAAGAAAGCTTTGGAGGGAAAGGTTTTCTCACCACAGGAAATGGTTTCCTGTAATTCTTCTAAACAGTCTGTAAAATGAGTTTTTGAAAAGCTGTAAGACAGAACTTCTAACTTACCTGTGGGAATTTTGATATGGCTTAGCTAAAATGGTTATATAATCATATTATCTTAATGCTGTATATCTTAAAATCTTATATATTTTATAATAATACATTTAATCTATAGGCTAAGATTTAAAATAACATCATACAAATGTTAATATATGTAATTATTTTTAAAAAATAGCATAAGTGTCGATTGTTTCCAGGGGTTACAGACAGCTATGTCATGTGATTCCACGGATTGCTGTGTTTGACTCCACATGAATGACACCCTCTGCCATTGTCCACTTGTCATGGGTGCAAGTGCAAACTCTCCAGATCATGGGTATTCAAGGCATAGGAACCATGTAAGAAAATCGCCCAGGGCTGGTGACAAATAGCTGACACCAAGCCTTGGGTCAGGACAGGACAAAGAGGAGAGTCTGCAGCCCACTAGGAATCACTTGCCCTATCTCACGGAGGTGACTGGTGAGTAGCAGCAGCTGCCTCTTGTTCGAGAATGTGGCCCAGGATTGCCAGCTTTCCTGATTTTTCAAAAAGCCAGATATCAAATGTTTATGTAAAGTTTCCCAGTGTTTCAATATTGGCAAAGCAGTCCACATTGTAAAAAGTGAGCAGCAGGTCAAACAAAATACCATCTGCAAGCTGATTTCTGTGCCAGTGGCCCAAAAGCCACCTCTGCTTAAGGCTGCCATTCATCTTTCCTATTCTCATATCCCAGCACGGCAAAAACAACCCACAAACGTTGGTCCTGGTTGCAGGAGACTGGGGACTGCTCAGGAAGCTTGATAAATAAATGAGCCACAGCTTCCAAGGAAGCTGTCATCTCCATAGGCAAGCCAAGGCTTTGGAAGTGGAGGGATAAACTTTATTTGTTATACCCAAGTAATAAAAGCTGTGTGACTGGGGGAAGATTGATATTAAGGTTAAAACAAATCCTACATGCTTATTTTTATAGATTACAATGATTAAACCTGAGTTCCATTGATGAGTAATTTCAACAAATCACATTTCCTGTGGGTAAATACAAGGCAGCTGTTGCTAGAAGAGACCTCTACTAGACTTCACTCAGTGGTTTATAACTAACTTACTCATCGTAGACTTAAAATTTGTGGAAAAGGAAATTGAGATTCAAAGGTGAACTAGTCCAGAGCTAGGTTCTCAAATTTCCATCTACTACACCAGTGATGGCGAACCTTTTAGAGCTTTCAATGATAACAAACAGCTGGCTGAGGCACGCATGCCATAGGCCCACTACCACTGCAACTATACTCTCTCCAACGGGCACAATTAGTTTTCTAAAGATGGAGAACAGAGTAATTTTTGTGGTATTTTCAGGATTATTCACCAACGTTGTGAGCTAAAGAAAAAGTATTAGCTCTAAAAGAATTTTGCTACAAAAATTTGATATTCTAGATTGGAAAAAAGAAAAGAAATTATAACTCCTAAAAGGAGTTTGAACCAGATATGTTAGTTTTAATTCAAAAGAAATGATGTTGAATGGGGTGAGCATGGTATCTGGCTTGGGGCACACATTTGGTGTTTGAGAATGAGTCTGAGCCAGAAATAAACTTGGAAGTGCCAAACCAGGTTTCTGCCCCAATGTGGTAGGAGAGGGACTGTGTAGCCGGATGCTGCAGGTGCTGTCAGATCTCAGGGTGATTTGCCTGTGGCACCACAGCTTACGGAAGGAGACTTGGACCCCATCCCTGGGTGTGCTGCTGACTCCTCCTTTAACAGGAACCTTCCTCCCTGCTCTTTGGCTGCCCTGCGGGTGGCATCCGTCACAGGGAACACCTTTGAAGTTTGGGACCTCATACCAGGAAGCGAGTGGCAACTGAACCCCTCCCCAGCCAGGAGGGGCGAAGAGGTCTTTGGAGTCAGAGAGAAGCCCAAATCCAAGCGCTGTCACTTCATGCTCCTGGGTCTCAATTTTGCCACCTAAAGCATGGGGATTTTGACTCCACCTGCACGGGATTATCCTGGGGATTTAGTTAGAGCATGTGGATTAGGGTGTGAGGTGGGTGCTTGCTACAGTGTAAGAGCCCACTGTGCAGCAGCTGTTCATGCTACATAATTGGTTATCTGATTTCCCAGCCTACAGCAGACTGAAACCAGCAGATTAGAAGGGCTCGAGGGACAAGGGACGGCTTCGGGAAGGCCAGTGGCAGCAGGAGAAAGTGACAGGTCGGAGAAAAGCTCTAAAGAGCAGGAGCAAAAGCTCAAAAGGCACAGCAGTCTGGGGCATTTACTAAAAGACCAGGTCAGTAGCTTCCTGCAGCCACCACTCCTCATCCTGGGATGGGCTTTGTGGCAGCAGTGGGGTGTGGCACTTTCCTCCCATCCCTTTCCCCAAACAAGCAGGTGTGTGTGTGGGGTTGGGGGGACGGGTGTGCTTGCTTTTCAGGGCAGATTTGCTGACCAAATGCTTCCAAATCACGAAATCCCCAAAGTCAGGGCCAGCAGAGGAGAGAAAGCTGTGGATTCCTTCGATGGCCTGAAAATAAGTCAAGTACAACAAAAGAGCTGTGAGACTTCCTGCTACAGAGAGCAGGACACCGCTTACCCTACTGATTGGGGTTAGAAATAGAGCCTCTGAGAACAGCTTCCACACCCCCCGAGGAGGGCAGAGGCAGGGGAATGAGCGAGAAGCAAGTGTAGGCTGCAGAAATGCCACTGTGCCCGACACTGTCTCCGCCTCCAAGGGCTCTGGGCAGCACCCTGAAGATCAGGACAGGATTTAGCGATGGAATGCTCTTAGAGCGTCCAGGGCAGGCCCTGCTGTGGTCCAGAGGCTCATTCCAAGCCCAGCTGGTGCCCAACCCTTCCCTGTGGATAGCTCAGAAAGGAGGGGACGAACTCACCTACTGACAATTCCCAGGGGCAAACCACGAGGGGCGCAGGTGCTGGGCCTAGATGGAGGTCGAATCTCAGCACTGCTGCTTCATTGTGTTGAACCTCAGTTTCTCTAGCCCATAAAATGGGGAAATAGTGATCTTAGGTAATAATCGGACTTCTCTGAGAATTTATCCTTTAATAACTCTGAGGCACTGCAGTATTGCCTCAGCACATGGTGAACACAGACACCATGATTCCATCCCGATAGCTGAGTGGGGCTAAGGAATTGTGGGAAAGGATGCTGCAACCGGAACAGAGAGTGCCTGACATTTGTGTATGTGAGCAACACACTTTGCAGTAGAGACTTGAGCAAAACAAACAAACAAACAAACAAACAAACAATGGCGAAGCTGGGCGTGGTGGTACACACTTGTAATCCCAGTACTCTGGGAGGCTAAGGCAGGAGGGTGGCAAGTTCAAGCCCAGCCTGGACCACTTAGCAAGACCTTGTCTCAAGAAAACCAAAAAACAAAGGATAGAGGGGATGGAGGTGTAGCTCACTGCAAAGGCCCTTGATTCAATACCTCGTACTGAAAAAAATTTGAAAAGGTGAAGTCATAGGAAGGAGATTATGAAGAATTTTCCTGGAGTTAAAATAAGAGGGACCTTATGTTGTTAGAAAACGGACCATATTATTTCCAAGAGAGAAGTGAAATTTATTTTAAGGAGAAAATGGTTTCCCTACCTATTGTGTGTTGCTGACAAATGTATTTATTGTCTGGTCATCATAAAACCCTTGATAGGATTGGTCTCTCTCTTTTCCCCAATCATGTGGGCAGAGCTCAAATAATAAATATTTACAGGGACACTCCCCTTTCTCTGTTAAAATAATCTTTGTTCCAGCACTTCCACAAGGAAGACCAGGATTTTCCCACCTCTGTTCTCTGGTTCCACTGAGCCAGGTCTGGGTGTAGGAGCAACAAATGGGCTCCAGGGAGAGAGGAGGGGCTGCCCCAGGTGGCAGCTGTAGCACAGGAGAAAGGGAAGGGGTAGGAGTGGCTGAAGAGTAGCCACAGGATGGCAGGGGAAGAAGGGTGTGACTGTCCACAAAGATGGGCTCATGTTTGCTTATGAGAAGTTTTTGAGAGAAGTGCTGGCTTCTGGTGCCACCTTGCAGATGCTGTGTCTACTACAGGGTGAAAGATTCCGCCCACGGAGGAGATGGAGCCCATTCTGTCTGCACTCGGGTTCCCTCTGTGAGTTGGCTTATCTTTTCTGTCAAGGGAAGTTTCAGTCACTATCACTCAGGTGGGCACAAACCTCTTTGCTCTCTGACTAAACTGAACTTGCTTAGGAGCCTCCATTTAGGCCAGTGGCAGAAGCAACTTAATCTTTTTTCCATTTCTGCTGTTGGCCAGAA